CAGCCCCTCACTGGGGGATTCTAGGCAGGGGCTCTACCACTGAGCCACACCCAGCCCCTCACTGGGGGATTCTAGGCAGGTGCTCTACCACTGAGTCACACCCCAGCCCCTCACTGGGGGATTCTAAGCAGGGGCTCTATGGCTGATTCACCCCCTCACCCCTGGTTGGGGACTCTAAGCAAGTGCTGTAACACTGAATCACATTTCCAACTCCTCTCTGGGCTTCCGCCTATGCCAGGGGCCAGGTCCTTGCGTGCCACATTCAGAGAATCCCAGAAGAGCCATCACACACTCCATAGGTATTCAGTAGGCTCCACCCACTGAAGGTGACCCTGGCTGGAACAGAAGCCCAGGAATCTAAGCGTAGCCCATGACAGACTGATAGACTGAAGGGTGGGTAGACTGGTCATGTGACTGTGGCAGGTGCTGGTTCCTTTCTGAGTGCACAGGGCGCGGGTGGCCACTTTCTCTGCCAGCTGCGGGGTTACTGTCTTTCCTGGCCAGGCCATAGGCCTAACCCTGGCTCCCCTTAGCTCTGGATTCAGTGAGGGGGACAATGAAAGCCTCTAACTTTGAAAAGCCCGGGACAGCTCTGCACAAGCAGACTGCTCACAGCCTGCCCGGGGAGTGCCGTTAGGAATAACTGATTCTGTGTCCTAGCTGAAACCACGCAAATGCCAGGGCGTACAGTGAGGTGTCTGGGGAGTGTCTGCCCAGAAAGAGTGACAGGTGTCCCTCAGACCACACCCAAGCCAGTTAGAGCAGGTGATGGCACCTTTCAACTCTCCCTCTCCCTCCCCAACCTGTGTGTGTGTGTGTGTGTGTGTGTGTGTGTGTGTGTGTGTGTGTGTGTGTGTGTAGACCAGAGATCAACTGCAAAGGTTCCTCAGGAGCTGGCCACCATTTTTATTTGTTTGTTTGTTTGTTTGTTTGTTTATTATTTTTTCGAGACAGGGTTTCTCTGTGTAGTTTTGGTGCCTGCCCTGGATCTCACTCTGTAGCCCAGGCTGGCCTTGAACTCACAGAGATCTGCCTGCCTCTGCCTCCTGAGTGCTGGGATTAAAAGCCTGTGCCACTACTGTCCAGCCACCTATTATTTTTTTAAACAGAGTCTCTCATTGGCCTTGAACTGGCCAATTGACCTAGGCAAGATGGCCAATGAGCCCCAGGGAGCCTCCTGTCCTGGGTTTACGAACGTGGGTTAGTTACCACGCCTGTTTTCTCACGTGGGTGCTGGGGATCAAACCCAAGTCTCACGTTTGTATGGCGAGCACGGAATTATCTCCTCACCCGCTGCTAAATTCCTAACTTACAAGTTCCCAAAGTCAACCAGCTACCCTTGTCTCCCCACCCTCAACCTCGGCCAGCCCCCCTCTGCTGAAAATCTTCTTCCTGCCTTCCCTGGTGGCACAGGCTTGTCATCCCAGCTGTTTAGAAGACTTAGGCGTGAGCATTGGGAGTTCAAGACCAGCTTGGGCTGCACAGTGAGTTCCATGCCAGGCCGGGCAAGGTAGTGAAATGTTGTTTCAAAGGGGAAAAAAAAGAAAAGGAAGAACAAGAGGAGGAGAGAAGGAGGAGAAAAAGAGCTGGGGATACAGCTCTGCAGCAGCATGCTGGGCTCCTGGGGTGTTGTTCCAACACAGCCTTCCACGTGTCAATTGTCTGACAGACTTTCTGCTCTGCAGGGTCTAAGGAGCCTAAGGAACCCATCTGAGTTCGCCATCATCAGGGCCTCAGTGTGTGAAGTTTTGTCAACTGGTAAAGCTGTTTGGAAGGTGGTGGAAACACTTGGGTATGGAGCCTGGCTGCTGGAGATAAGCTGTGTGTGCTGAGGACAGAGGGAAGAAGGATATTAACAAAGATATCTCACTTCTACTGAGCCACACGCCAGCCCCTCACTGGGGGATTCTAGGCAGGTGCTTTACCACTGAGCCACACCCCAGCCCCTCACTGGGGGATTCTAGGCAGGTGCT